CTAAAATACAGAGTGCTGTAAAATGGTTACAAATGCTGCTACTTTGGTATAATATACCTTCCAGTTTTTTAGCAAACATAATATTTTATTACCTGTAATTATCCCGTGTAAATTTCTGTACTATTTCGATTGATTTTATATTTCTATATATATTTTTTATTCAATCTGTTGTTACTTTCAGGTTCGAATAAATCCAATCAGATATAAAATTGCTTAAATAAATTGCAAATCAAAATACAAATATTTCGTAACCTATAATTTAGGACGCAATGAGGACAAAATCAAGGGATACTACTTATTGATTTGCAACATATTGAACAAGGGCTTGTAGAACCGCAGCTGCAGCCTGGGAGGGGGGGGGGGCCACTATCGTCATCATCACCATCACTATCATCATCTTCATTGCTATCATCTATGTCGAGTTCATCTCCTCGTAAAACACAAATGTTATGTAACACGCAGCACACAATGCTAGTGTCGAGTATTCTGTCAGTGTCTTCATCTAGGCACTTAAGTAAAACCCTCCATCTTCCTTTGGTCATACCAAATGCGTGTTCGGATACAATCTTGCCTTAGATACCTCTCAGTTAAACTTCCTCTGGTCGCGCGTAAGCCCACCAGTATCCTTAAATGGTCGGATAAGCCAGGTTTTGTTTGGATAAGCAGTGTCTCCCACGATAAGAGGGCACACTATAGTTCCATGCCTAACTCAAATGCAGGTTCCATTAGGATATTCTCATCTTCAGCAGCCCAATAAATGTCAGTCAAACGTAGCATCCGAACATCATGTAGACTTCCAGGAAAACCAGTGGCAACAGATAAATAGAGGCCAGAAGCATCAACTACTCCCTGTACTAAAAAAACTGTAGAAATGTTTCAGGTTAAAGTAGTCTTCATAATTAATTTTCAGGGCCTTAATAGGTACATGGCTTCCATCTATTGTTCCAACTACATTAGGCAGTTTACTTTTATTGTCGAAGCCTTTAATTTTTTTAGCTATCTCTGCTGCAGTTGATGGAAACTTGATGAATTCATCTTTATGTCAGCAGATTTCTTGAACAAATTCATGGCAACACTTTAGGACAGTTGGTTTTGCCAACCCAACCATCAATCCACACGACCAGTAGCAATCCCCAGTAGCTAGTTGCCAGAGGCTCGCACCGACACGCTTTTGAACTAGAATGGCATCTCGCATCCTAGTCTTTTGTCGCTGGAGTGCCAGTCCAACGAGCTGGCATATATATTCAAAAGTATCGTGAGAAACTCTAAAGTTTTCTTTCCACCAGTGATCCAGTGTATTGCTATTTAGAAGTTGCTGAAACCAATTCTGTGGTTGTGGAAAAACCCAAGCAACAAGCTCATAAATGTAAATAAAATGCCAAAAAAACCTTGATGGTAGCATAGTTGAAAGTGCCTTCTTCAGTGTCTCCTTGCAAAAAACTGTTGGATGGTTTTATTTATGGAGGACTGTCGTATAATAAGCAGGAGAATCGCTGCAATTAAGCCTAATAAATCTCGATTCGCAACATCCATGTTGCTCTGTACTTTTCCTGCCAATTTGTTGGGTCAGGGAACTCATATCAAATTATATTTAACCCTTGGGGGATTTTTTTTTACTGTGTAACCGCATCCCCAAGGGTAACATGAAACCTGAGCTTAAACAAACCCAAGCCATTTACCCTCCGTAGGGCCCAAACCCAAGGTGTGTGTAACCACAGCTATTGGTAAGATTGACCAACCCATACGCCGACGCATCAGCCCACACACTACCGACACTACCCCATAAGAAAAGGAACTATAAATCGCCACCATTTTGAGAACGAAACACTACCTATGCATCGGATTAGGGCATGCACATTGGATCCACTTCCAGCAAGTATCATGCAGAAATGCTATTCAAGTCTTGTTCCTGTATTTAGAAGAGTGATTAATTTGTCATTATCATCTGGAG